AGACTCTTCGGAGTTTTGTGAGATGCGCACTGCTGATTATTCTCAATGAGGATGAAACAGCTGTACAGTGCTTCTCGGCTTTTCAGCAGGGATTGGCTTCACCCACAGGACGAAATCTCCACAAATATCCCAAGTCTCCTCTACCAACAAACCATTAGGTTGTCTGGCCAATGAATATGTCCATCACCAAAAGCCAGGGGGGCTGGGCCATACATTGCGCATGCGAAATCATCAGTTACCGAAAACAATGATGTTTTATGTACCTAATTCAGAGTGGTGAAGACAAAGGGATCGTCAATCTTGAACCTTGTAAAGGGATCACGAAATGCCTTGGGCATGTTAGTACGATTGGCTTTCCAGTTCGCATGTTATATGGCCCTTAATCAGTGCCGTCGGCTGGTAGTTGTCAGTTTCCACCTGGACGAGTGTGTGGAGGGGTCGACATTTCGGAATGACTGCATTACGCTAGCACCAGGTCCCTTCTCCATACCCTTTTATTCTTTTATTCACATCGGGACTTTCGAAATAATTAGGCTTTTGTGATATCGAAGCATCATTACTGAACATCAACGTTGCGTTGTTGGCCTACCGGAAAACACATTCCTTGTTCAGGAAGAGTTCACGTGGGGAGTTGGTGATTAGAGCACGACTTTACTGACCGAAGGGACCGTAGTTCGAACCCGGCATTTGCCTCTCGACTTCCCCTCTCTAGGTTTGGTCAATCTGGTAGTATTCCAGCCCTTGTGCTTCCTTCTGGTGGCACGCCCACTAGGCACTGGAAGGGAGTTACAACTGAACGATCATTGCACCTTCTTTTAACCAAATTACGTGAAATACAACGTTTTTGTATGACAACTTGGCTGAATAAGCATGTTTCTCAGTTTGGCTCAAAAGTGAAGCAGAGGCAACTGAAAAAAATATACTTTCCGTCACAGAATCGGTAACGATAAGTCAGTTAGTTCAGTTTGTATTTTTACCAGGAGGAACATTTGGGATGTACTGCCGTAAGTTCTCAACTTAGTGATATTCTAATCTCTGACTCGCTTTCCAATTGGAAGGCCTTTCAAAAAACACAGTAATGGAACAGTAACAGAAATGAAATTATTGGAATGAAACGGAAGAGGAGAGTACGGTGCAGTTGAACCTGAAACACACTCTTGCAATGGTTGCTGAATTCGTCATCAATCTAATCGAAAGACACATCGGTATGTTTAACGAACAAACACTGTTTTCAGTAAACCCTTTCCAATGACACCCCAGCAGACATTGGTCTCTGATGTTTCTAGCTTTCGTGCAAGGTTGGGCGACCGTGAATATAGCCTGAGAGAAATAGAAGGCTTTATCCAGTGAAAACAGACATACCTCGCAGGGGCCTCCTCTGCCGCTTTATCAGGATCAGTGGGTCCCATCAATTTGCGCCACCCAGCGATTGCATCTTCACGTGTTAGCACCATGAACAGGGTGCGTCCGCTTTTATGGCAAACAGAAGGGATAAGATCAGAGAGTTAGCTTCCAATCTCAATCAGAGAGAAAAACGTACAGCCATAGACCTCTCGGTTACCCCGTCACAATGGTACTGGAATCGCCGGCTGTTTAATGACAGCAACTTCGAAAAGTCCGAGGTTCGAATCCAGCCTATTGATCTCGACTGACTCTGTATAGACCTGTGCAACTTGTTACCTTCTGGTCGCATGGTTGTTTGGCGCCCAAACGAATTTTCTAGCCTTCCTGCTATAATATCCAGAGAGGTCAGAAGTAGTATCTTAGCTTTAAATGAGTTCATCATTCTCATTTCAGTACTTCACCGAGTTGTACTACTCAGTAAAGGTAGATAGTAGCATAAGCCAGCAACCTGGATACTACAGAACTCTTTAATTCCACTTTAAACTTTGCTACCATGTACAGGGATGTCAATCGATTTTTGGTCTATCATCTGTGCAGCTGACTGGTGGATATTCAGCAATCGCCGAACTGTGCCTCGCTGTTACCGCAATGCAGCAGAATCCAGTCCTATCTGAAGGTCGCAATACAAGGACACTGACAAATGGAAATGAGAATTCCCCTCAATCAACTACGATTTCTTCAAAGTACAATCCCCCTTGACCTTATTCGTGTACCGTGGTAAGAATGAACAGCAGTCATGAAGCCCCCTATCAGAGGCTCCACAGCTCCAATTCATTCATTTAAAGGCTTCTACCAACGCCAGAAGAATCCAACAGCGTGAATCAGCCATTGAAAACTTTTCAAATTATGTTGTAATGCATAATATATTGCAGTATTAAAAGCGCCGGATCCCACTTTGATGGTAGTTTCACAACTTCCCAAGGAAAAATATGACAGAAAAACAAGTTGAATTAAACGAGGGTCCCGGTAGACTCTCAATCTCCTGGTGACAAATTTATGCCCCGTACAAATGAAGCGACTAAAGGGCAGTTGTAAAAATCTCTGATTTTAAAACTGCTTGGCTGTTCTATGCTTTTTTGCAAGCTGCACAGTTTTTGCGTATTACTGGGGCCGTTGTTTTCACAGGCTCGGGCAAAAGCAATTTTTATTAGGCGTGCCAGTTTTCTGAAGGCTTTCGTGGTGTAGCAGAAACCACGCATGGCGCCGTCTAATGTGCGCTTCCGTTTTCTTCAGTCCATCTTCATCGTCATCATCATCGACAGCATGACATCAGGTCCCTAATCTCGGTAGACTGCTGTGATGGCCTGTTGGACGTAACTAAGTGAGACAACAATACGACCTGTTTTCTACCGTCTGGTCAGCAAACTCAGTTTGTCGATTTGCTCGCATTAATCCAAAATGACTGCTGTTCTTAGTTTTACGAAATGGGTTCGATGCTCAAACATGTGTTTGGTTGCGCTCCCTTGTGGTGGCCCTCTCTCTTTTCATGAAACAGAATTTACCGATAGTTTCATTGCAACATACTTTGGAATGCAACTCTCCGGCAAACGTTGACAGACAGTCTCTGATACCTATGTAAGGTTAGTTCCTAGATTAGCTGCTCAATAAAGGAAGGTAATTTAAGATGTAATCGCTATGAACACGGGATCTCGTGTCTTGTTTGGTGAGCCTCATGAGACGACTTAGGCGCTAGACAAATTTGTCTATGTGAACGGTGGTTTAGCCGAAAACGATATTTTCATCCGGATCGGGACGGCGAGAGGGTCTTTTGAGAACCTGAATCATCTGCGATGCAGGTATGACACTAGATTATATGTCAGAGGTCGACTTTACAGTGCCATAGTTTTCTGGATCAAAAGCCCGGCCATTGCAAACCCAAGACCTTGAAAAGACTTTCAGTCTTCGAACATCGATGTCTTTGCAGCATCCAATTAATATCGATTGGTTTTCGGAAGAAATAACTTGCCCGATATAGATGAACTGATCACAATTCATATATTGCGCTGGGTTGGTCACGTGCTCCGTATGCCAGTCAGCCGACTTTCTCGAATAGCCCTCAGCTAACCATCATCCTAAGCGGTATGTGGTCTAGAGACCGGATGGGCATGACAAACACTCCAGCACACGTGACCTGTTTCTCTTGGTAAGCAAGACCGAGGGAATAGGACAGCCGGATTTGACTTGGTTTTTTTTCACTTCACGCCAACCCAACTCCGATTGGAGTAACATGTCAGTGAGATTCGTTTTAGTAAAAAAAAGAACACGGTGATAACGGCCTTCAATTTCGTGTTCTTCCAATGCTAGTGGTCCTTTCACCCACACAAGCCGCTCAGAGTAACTTCAACTAAGCACTACTCAGTGCGAAAAAGTTTGACTATGTATAGCCCGAGAATAATGGCAGTGGGGAAACATTCTGCGTTGTACATCCGACCCCATGGATCCACAAATCGCTTACAGATGAATTTCATGGCAACAGCACACACTGTCATTTCGTATTTGATGAGGTTCGTTCTTTGGCAAATTTTAATATGAGTAAAGCAGTCAAAACAACGTCACAGGGGGTCGGAAAGGCTTGGGGAGCCATTTCACCCCTGGAGAGAACCCACCGCGCACTAGGACGATTTCCTCTGGTTCCGTGAAAGGCTCTTCTAGGGAGGACTGTAGTGCTCGATCAATGAAAGCTTATCAGTAGTGTGACTGGTGTATGCAGTAAGGCAACAGGAGCTAGAAAAGAAATTCGACGGAAAAGAATTCTCTGGGATAGTCCAACGTGAATTCTTGACTGAATTCTTGTCAGTTTAGTTTCACGTCAGTTGCCAGATCAGTTTTGAGCTCACATGCGTGTTCATCTATTTTATGCTTCGAGTATAATTGAAAATAGGTCCACATATCAAGCATGTACCCACCTTGTCATCTGCTTGACCAAATCATCAAAGAACGGCTTATCTTTGACGTTCTCGTACAGCTGCGCCGCCAACTTTTCGTCCAGTTGCGTATCCTTTCTGGCAGCCACATGAAAGCCGGCCGATTTGATCATCTCGATAATTTCGTCTCGGTTCGCATACGCATCCGGTTTGACTGCTGCCAATGTACGCTCCACAGGGAAAAAGCGTTCTATATCCAACTGAGCTTCCTCGGCAGAAGCAGAGCCATGAATTAAGTTGATCGTCTTTCCGTCTGCCATATCCTCTTCGTCCTCGGAGACATACTGCGCGCGAAGTGATTCGGGAGCTGTTGCCTTTGCTTCGGCCACATCTTTAGGACCGAGTAGCTTCCTCCACGTATCCACAGCGTCCTGCATGCGTGGAGAAACAGCAGTGGGACGAATATGACGTCCTCTCCAACTCTGTTGTTTATTCATAGAAATCACGTGCCATCACAGCCGGGATGTGATAGTACATCTCGGAGTTTTTTAAACCACACCAGACATGCGATGAATGTTGGTTAGTATCAGTCATTTGACGCGGAACATTTCTCTGAGTTCAGATTGACCGCAATACAAACAATCGATTAGCCGACTAAGGATCAGTATGACTCAGCTCTTTGAGGGTTCGTGCTTGAGGGACAGGATGAAACTATCAGAAATAGGCACCCTAACTTTTACCGTCATCAAGTGACATTCAAGTGTCCATACATCAGTGACGTTCAGAGGAGCGGACGCCCTCCTCTCATTTATGGTCCTTGAGGCGTTGCGGACTAGCTACGTGACCGCAAATGATTTAGCTTCAGCCTAAAGCCAACTGCTCATCACTGCTGACCTACGATATACTAAAACTCAACCTAACGAGCTTTGTATCTTTAAGATACCGTTTGTGAGGGTTAAACATGAACCAAAACCCGTACAAGGTATATGTACGCAGGTGGTTGAATACATGTCGGTCTGATTTCCCGAACCGGTTTAAAAATATCTCGTTTATTTTTAACAGCTTGTCGTAGATTCCGCACCATGGAATTCCAAACCCATGACCTTATGTCAGATTCAACTGTCACTTCAAATATATAGTTTCTACCAGTATATATATGTGTGTATGTATGCTAGAGTTGTGGTCTCCAAAATATGGCTTCATCGCCATCACCATACACACCATGACATCAGTGTTAAACACCGATGCTTCGCTGCTGTACAACCATGACTTAATTGAAAGCCTTACTGTAAAGGAAAGAATAAAGGTAGACGGGGAAGGGACTTAATGCCAGCTTATCACAATCATTCCGAGGTGCCTACACCTCCAGACATTCACTTAGGCAATCTGGATAGAAACTGGCAACAAGAACGTCACTGACATCAGTTGGCACCCATATCTATTAGTGTCTCCAACCAGGCACAGGGAGGATCACGCGGTCCCCATCTTGGAAGGCGAGTAGCACCAACGGCACCCAAG